CCCGCCCCGCCGGTGCGCTGTTCCCGCGGTTGTAAAACGGGTCGGTGGGAGCTGGAGCTCTGAGAAACGGCGACCGAGAAACCTCAGCGGCTGCGCCTAGGTCCTGCCAGGGGGCCCTTCTCTGCCGCTTCGGGGGCAGGAGTCTAGGAGTGGGGTGGAAACTGATGTTAAAACCTCCCAAGGGTCTTTTGAGCCACGGCCTCGGAGAGAAACGCGATTGCTGTGCCCTGGGTGCTGGAGTTGCTGGGTACCGAGGTGCTGCTCTCCCTTCCCAAGGGGACAGGAAGGAAGGGGCTGGGAACAGCCTGGTGACCACCCCTGCTGTAGTGTCTTGATGCACCTCAGGTTTTGTTCAGTCCTTCTGGAGCCCTCGGATAATTTCAGTGCTGTCTTTGGTTGCAGCCCTGATTATCTGAGATCAGCTGAGATGACTGAAGTGATGATGAACACCCCAGCTATGGATGAGATCGGGCTAAGCCCCCGCAAGGATGGCCTCTCGTACCAGGTAAGTGCTCCTGCAGTGGATCCCCATAGGCTCCCCAAGGCTGGGGGCGAGCTTGGCATGATGCACCTTTCTGTAGCCTGGCCCAACAGCCAGTCTTGCTGCAGTGAGAACTAGTCAACAGACTGGAATGCTTGCTTGGCAGGAGCAATTTGTCAGAAATACTGCTTGCTATCGGGCTGGATCTGCAAAGGACTTCATTGCTTCTGGGGTGATGAAGCTCCCACTTGTTTAGCATTCTTGGGGGCTCAGTGGGAGATCTGCTAAAGTGGGATTTGCCCCTGTCACAAGGGGGAGAAGGCTCTTGGGCATATACGTGTTCTTCCTGGAGCAGATGGGAGATGTTTATACAGTGTACAAATCTTTTGAGTTATTTTTCTCTTTTCCTGACTGCTGTGGACCTATCTGAGGGGGCTGATGGTCTTCCATAGCTCAAGGTAAGGCCAGAGACAGCCCTGAGTTGTCAAGAGGAGATAATGGGTGCCTGAAGGTGGGAGCTGCTTTCATGGTGAAAGTTGTGGATGATGCCTTTAACTGTTAACCTCTAGATCAATGGCTGGGGTTAGCAGATGGTCTTAGAAACCACTTTAGTCTTACTGCTTAAGTTTGGCTTATAGTTAATCACAGGACAAGTGTGTGCATTAGACTGGTTTTCCTGGCTCTTCCAGGAAACTTGTTGATGAGATTTAGCACAGAAGTGGAGTGCATGCAGCTGACTTGCATCTGGTCTTTGCACAGAGTAGCTCTTAATGGTGGGTCCTGATGCAGAGTTCTTCCCTTGAAGATTACACAACCTTCATGGAGGCCCTTGATGTAAGCGTGCATTCAAATTAGGTGTGCTGTTGTATGCGTGTGTATTTAAGTCCAAAAAATGAGCTGTGAGTCTATAACAGTGAGTTGAAGCATGAAATCAAGTGAACTTTGGGCTGTAGCTTGGGCCTCCAACATCAGCCAGTGCTGCAGGGAAGGAAATGGGATGTGTAGCTGCTCTTAGGTCTGCATCTGGACCATGCAAGCATGTTTTATTGCCTGCATGTAGGAATAGTTGTGCTGTGTGCTCTAGTTAAAGGAAAGCATATGGCCTTGTTTTTTTTCCCTCCCATGGAGGGAGTGTGCAACAGTGGGAATGGTCATTAATCCGGAAATGATCAGACCAACCCCTACATGCTGGATGTTCAAGCAATTGTGTTAATGGGTCACCATATGAAGAAGCTTAACCCAGGCAGGTCAAATGCTTCTGTTCATTTCTCCAAATTCTTTAGTTCTGCCCAGTGTGGCAGAATCTAGGTACCCTGCTTGCTCTAGCCATTGCCCCAGCAAGGCTTTTCCCCACAGTGCTAATGACCTTGATAAAATCTGTTTGGATGAATGGGTTGTTAGTAGATCATCTGAACCTGGAGAGTGTGAGTCATAAACTCTGATGACTTGCTTTTATGCAGGGCTTATGCATCTTGGATCTCCTTTCTGTAGTGTTCTAGTCATGGATTGCTTTCTTCAAATAAGATCTGCAAGATCTCTTAATGTGCCTACCACTAAGTAGTCTGCTGTGGTGCAAGCCAAACTGATGGCAAAAGGCTCCTTTTGGTGATTGTACAGAGAAGTTGCAGTCTGGATTGAGGGCCAGAAATAGAAGATCCTGATAGGATATGAGCCATGTGTGGGCTGTGTATGAGGTCTGCTGCTAAATCAGGTTAGTGCAAAGAGGATTGGAGAGCAGGCTGCAGCCTTCTTCTAGCACTTAGGCTGAAAACGTTGTGGCATAAATCAAGGTAAGTTGAAAACCTCAAGTCAATTCAAGTTAAAATGGCAAGGACAAATCAAATGCAAGCGGTACTGCGAACACCTGGTTCTGCCTCAGACTTTGGCACTTCTTGCTCCGTCCTGCTGATGGAGAGACTGTTTGGTACATGGAAAATTGTATGCTAGTCTGAGTGCTGTAGTGCAATAATTTAAATCCCGACAGAGCTAATGGCGCATGACCGCCTCTGTGCTGAGACTTGCTCTAAGCTGCATCTTCCTCCACCAAGCTGCAGAGTCGGGCTTCCAAGGTGCACGTGTAATAAGTTGGCTGTGGGAGGCAAGAGCAGAGGGCCAAGATGGGAGAGGCAGGCTTTTCAAATGTTTCTTTTCCAGCAGAAGAACTTGGATTTTCTCTCACTTTAGAGATGACCGTAAACTGGTGTTGAAAATGTTGTCTTTTGAGTTGTGTAGAGGAGGGCCTGCCTGGGAGCTGGTCCCCCAGGTGCTGGCAGTGAGATGGGGCTTGGCTTCTGCCACCACATTCAGATGTGAAGTGGCCTGGGTCAGAGGATGGTTCAGCCGCTCTGCTGAGCTGTGAAGAAAATCAGCATCTGCTGCAGGTAGGCTTGTCGTACCAGCAGTACTGCTTTAAAGTGTTTCGGCTTTTACCAGGAGGTAAACTGCAGATACAAATAAATTTTACCAAGTGTAAGCTTTGCTTTGCTTCCCCTTGCTCTGTGGAGTTCACTAACTTCAGGGTTGTTCCTGTCTGTCTTGTTGAGTTCCTACAGAAAGTCACTTGCATGTTTGTCCTTCTGCCTCCTCCACTGCGTTACCCCACGCTCCCTTGCCTGCTCTCTTCTTGCACTAGTGTCTGTCTGGACATGAACTGAGCTGTCTGGCACTGACTGTACCTGCTGGGGAAGCTGCCTGGCCTTCTGTGGCTGATCATCACTGCTTGCAAAGCTGTGATGTGAAAGCTCAAGGGGCACCAGTTGCCTGTCTGTGGTAGCTGGGTTTCCTGGGTAGGCCTAGTTTTATAGGCAGTTTCCTTTATGAAAAGGCAGCCTGTGTGCTGCTGTGTCTGTAGAGAAATCTGTCCAGCTGATGTGTACCAGCTTTGCAAGCTAATGCAGTGCCAGCTTCAGAGCCTTTCTCTGTTTTTATTCCTGTGCTTGCCATGTAGAGCTGCACTTGCAGCCCCTTGAAGATGGTTCAGCCAACGGATTTAAAGGGCCTGGGCAGAAATGAATGGCAAAATTGGGGCACAGGCCTCTGAACAGGGAGGCACAGACAAAACAGAAGATGCAGCTGAAAACATGATGTCATGCTGGGTCTTGTGCCTGCAGTGAAGAGCTATTTCTGGCTCTTTAATAGATGTCCCATAATTCCTGTGGGACTACTAAACAAAAACTCGTTGAAATGCAGCTGATGGCTCGAGATGCCCCTGCTACAAGCAGATGTGCCCGTGGAGGCCTCCACTTGCTTCCTGTCTGGCAGCTCTCTGCCAGCTGGGCCTTTTTGCTGCCAGTTGGATCTGGGACATGGCTTGCTTTCCTCCAGCTCCTAGACAGACCCAGCCTCTGAAAGGCCTAATCAGCCCTCTGCCAGCTTGTCCTCTAAGGCTGTTTCACAGCAGCATGAGTGGCACTCCTGAAATTAGCCTTGTTCGTGACTGAATTAATCATTCCACCTAGCTGTTGTCAAATCAGAGTCTTGACCCGAATCTCACCTTGCTTCTTGGAAGTGGAGCTGGGTCTGAGCATAACGGAGAACACTTTGATGCCCAAAGTGTTTATTTTTGAGCAAACTCATCCCGAGCAGAGCCAGGTGTGCTCATGCCTACAGACTCACTGCTCGGCTGCTGGGCTGGCTCGCTCATCTTAAAGGGGACCTTGGACTCCTGTTTAAGAGAAGCGATTGGGGTGCAGAGTTGAAGCCTGTCTCATGCCATTGGCTGGGTTTGGTTGTCATGGGGAGCTGGAGCTCTTTTAAGTCACATCATTGCATCATGCTGGGATCTGTTGGGGTTAATCACAGCTGCAGCTCACTGTGAATCATGTCAGACCCAATCTAGGTAATAGCTTTAATGCTCAAGGCAGTGTCTGTGGCAAAAGCTTGGGTTTTCCATCTTGTTGGGGAAATTGGTTGCTGTGAATGTGACACCAGGGTCTGGTGGGAGAAGATGGAAAATTGAGGTTTCTGTAGCTGTTTGGTTGTAAGGTGCTTCATGTTGGTGTAGACAGGTCTTCTGCTGCCTGCAGGTCTTGGCACTGGGCTGCAATAATGGCTCATGATGCTGGGGGAGTTTAGGGTAACTTCACCAATTTTTCTTCTGCAGAGCATCACACAGCCAGTGCCTGGTTACTAAAAAGATGTGCCTTAAGCAGTCTCAATTTTTTTTAGCCTGAGTTTGAGTATCCCAGGGTCTTAGACCTTAAAATGAAGTCAGAACTCAGCAAAGGAATAAACAGAGCCAAAGCAAATCTTGTTCAGTGCTATGCTAAAAAAGTGCTCCACTGAAATTCAGGCTGAAGAAAACAGCTCATCATGTTTTTTCCCTGCTTACTCAATGCCTTGTTACTCTGGAAAATTGTGATTGTGTATGAAGTCTAGTTGCCACTGTCTCCAAGACAGGGCAGACTCATTGTGGAGTTTTCACAGCTCATAAATTTGAGCTCAGTTGCAAGTCATGGCTACTATAAGAGCAAAACTTTGTAGGACTGTTTCTTGTAGCTGGAGAACTTCTCCAAATAAGTGACTTAAGAGATTTAAGTATTTTCTGGAATAATCTTGCCTTGTTTCTCTATGGCAGTGAAGTTTTATGTTGAGAACTTATTCAGATTTGGTTTGAAATATTAACTTGATACTGCTGAAGAGTCACAAAACTTAACTTTTTTTGGTGTAGGAGAGCACTTACTTATTGTGCTTACAATATGGCTTTTCATTGTACCTGAATTGATAAGCCCCTAATGCAGACCTTTAGCCTTGTTTGTATTGCCACAGTGAAGTGAAGTTTTCTCCAAAGTAATAACTTGATTTAGAAAGACCTTTTTTGCTCTGAAAAACAGTTTTCAGGCCCCTGGTGGGTGGGGGAATGCACATGTGGAAGTTGTTTTGAATTTGCAAGTGTCACTTGGATTATGGTAGCTCTGTAGTGAATCCTTTTAATTGTCTGACATCCTCTGCTTTTGTTGTTTCTCTGTTCCTATGAATACTCAGCTTCCCCAAGGCAATGAAAACTTTCCATTCTTGTTGCCAAGACTTCATTCAAGGAGAGTAGGGCTAGATTGTCCAAAACAGAGGCAGACATGATCTTAAAGTCTAAGGCTTTCAGCTCGAGTATTGCCTTTCAGCTGGAAAGGGCACTGAAAAGCAAGAACAGCAGGAAGGGGGGCACCTTGTGTCTCATCTGAAACAGGCAGTGGAGATAGCAAGCCTCAAAAGACAGTCTGGAGAGGCCTCTGAAAAATACTCTCACAGCAAGTGTCAGGCTGCTGTCTTACAGTTTAAGCAGCAATGTAACACTTCCTCTGTGGGCTTTAAAGATGCCACTGTAGGCTAGAAATGGGGCTCAGCTACAGATTTACAGCTCTGCAGAAGCAAGCACAGTCCCTCCCCATGCATTGACTGGGTGTGGGTAGGGGGAATTTCTCAGGTTTCTAAAATAGATCTTAGCTAACCTCTTCCACCAGTCTGTTGGTGGTTGTTTTTCCCCATCAGGTGACCAGATGAGCCAGAAGTCAGCACCTCCCAGCTGTGTGCATGGTGACTTGCTCTGATAGGTGGGGAACAGCTAGTCCCATGCTGCTGTGTCCTCAGGTCATGCAGAGTCTTCTCTTGGCGCATGGGCTGGGTAATGCAAGGACAGCTTGTTGGTGGCTTTGCTAGATAAGCTGTTGCTGCTGCTATGTAAAGTGGTGCAGGCCTCAGGGTCAGACCTGAGCCTGCGTGTTCGCAGGGGAGAACTTGTTTCATAATCCGTACAAGTCTGGTCTTCCCATTGTCCCATCTGGAAGGGGGCCCAGGTTAGACATTAGGTGCCACTACATGCAGCCTGGCGCTGGCTGTGTGGGATTGTGCACTACTGGTGCTTGTTGATCTGTGTTAGAGCCTGACACCTTAAGCCTGGCTTATTTGGGAGTCACTAGGCAGGCTGCTTGGGGTAGCTACCCTTTTGCTGGATGTGCAAATGAAGTCTTAATTTAAAACCCTTTTCCTTTCAGTACTTGTACTTGGCGTGCTGTGTTGCCTGCTTGTCACATGGTAGGAAATCTGCCTTTGTGTATTTTTTCCATTCACTGTCCACACCCCTTGAAAGTGCAGTTGCAACATCTCACTTCATGCTGCCTCCACGATTAAAAAGCATGACTTAGTGGAAAAAATCTTGACCTTCTTGGGTTCGGCCTGTCCTGCAGCTGTTTGAGATAAGATTGTGCTAGCTTTTTATTAAAAAAGCTGCACACCACATTTTGGGGATGCTTGTTTGTAAGGAAATGACTGCTATATAGTTTCTGGAAAAAACTTTGGCAGACTATTTTCAAAGAAATTGCTCCAATTTGACCTAATGTGCTTAAAATGATAGCAGCCAAAGGTTAGTTTAATTATTATACTGCTATTTTTCTTGCACAGGAGGCTATTTTCATGACATTATCAGCTTATATAACCTCCTGAACTGCACTTCTTTTTCCATTGCAACCTTCTAAACAATGTAATGTCAAGGGTATTTTTTCCTATCCTGAGTTTAGATAATGAGTTGATGCTTAAGAGCCATCGACTGTACTTCCAGTAATGCCAGGGTGTCTGAAACTGCTTTTGTTTGGTGCAGCGGAAGCCACAAAGCTCTAAAACAGTTACTGTCTTGCTTGTGCTGGGAGTGACCAATAGCAGGTGTTTCATACGCAATGCTCAGGGTAATGGGGCCCTGTCAAAGGCCTTGCTTGCACTTGGGCACCTGAGTGTGCAGGGGTGCAGCTGTGGGAACTGGATTTGCAGCCCCATGAGGCTGCTGGTGTGCAAAGACACGGCGTGTTGTGCACTGCCTGCATGTTGAGTCACTTTTCTGAGCATCTCTTCCTGGAGTTACTCTTCATGGCTTTGCCTTGCCTGGCTCAAGTTACTTACCTAGCAGCTGACTGGTGCTTAGTCTCCCTCAAGCTTTGAACTTGAGGAAGGAATGTAGCTAAGTCTGGTAGTCACAGACTTTTAGTAAAGTTGCTAACGGTGTGGCTTGTGGATGCTCTGCTGAAGGACAAGTTGGCTGAACTGCACTCTGATCTGGGGTTTGGGCCAGCTCTTCCCAGGGTGGTGGGCACCTGTGTGACTGGCATGAGGAGTGTGATGTTCTGGGATTAGTGCTTGCGGCCCCTGGACAGCATCTTGCTTTTGCAAATGGCACCTCAAAAAGCAAAGTAGCTCTGATTTGCTCCCAAGTTGAGGAATCCAAGAGTGTTGTGCCCACCTGAGGCTGCCAGTGCTGTTTTCCTGCAGGGGCACTACTGGAGCTTATCAAAAAATGCCACTTTTCAGAGAAAAGTACAAACTTTCTAAAAGTTACCTAGCTCTTGGATTCACCTGCAGTCTTGAGGCAGAACTGCTTTGTTGTTTGCCTTTCAGTGTGTTTTAATGCAGCCATAACATAAAATTGGCTTTCTAACAGATGATAACATTTGAAATAAACAGGTGGTAAGAGATTAATACTCTGGTTATCAGTGGGGTGCTCTAGTGTGGCAACTGGTTCTTGTCAAGTTGTGGTTCTGTGTGGGGTGAATTGAGATTTGAAACTCTACCTCTCTAAGGAATTTTTTGCAAGCAATGGGAAACTTCTCTGTTCAGATTGACTCATGCAAACCTGCTGTTAACACTGCAGTGCAATGGCACTTCTTCCTGGGCCCCTGCCTTTGCTTCAGTACCTAGTGGGATCAAAGAGCAGCCCAATGGCAATGCCAGTGAGTACTGGCCCTGGTCTGCTGTGGTGCATATGCATCCTTCTGGCAAGCTGGAGATGGAAAGGATGTACTTCAAGGGGCTAGAGATAAGCAGATCTTCATATTGCCTTCAGCTGGGAATGTTCCCTGGCTATGCTGCAGCCCTGAGAAATGCAGACAATAGGTAACGTCTCCAACATCTCCACAAAATGAGT